AAATGACCTGAAAACACGCTTGGTGAGTATCAGACCAATTCTAAGTCATTTTGACATCGTGGCCTAGAAAACTCAGTTTGCAAAAGTTAGGCCACCATGCTAAAGTGACCTAGAAATCACAATAGGTTAACACCAGACCAATTCTACGTCATTTTAGCGTGATGACCTAACTTTAACAAGATGAGTTTTCTAGGCCACCATGGCAAATGACCTAGAAAACGCACCAGGCGAACATCAGACCGATTCTAGGCCATTTTTGTGCTGGCCTAACTTTCCAACATTTTTTTCTAAGTTTTCTAGGCCACCACTTTTTTTGGCCTAGAAATAGTCGGATGTTTACCAGGTGTGGTTTCTAGAAAATTTTAACATAATGACCTAGAAAACTTAACTTGCAAAAGTTAGGCCACCTTGTTAAAATGATCTCTGCTCTTTTTCGAAAATCAATTTCCAGGCCGGCTCCAAACCCATCGTGGTTCACTGCTCCGCTGGCGTTGGCCGCACTGCCACCTTCGTCGGAATCCATCTTGGCTATGTCATGGTCCGTGAGAACGCTTCTGTGGAAATGGTTGACATCTTGAAACGTCTTCGCAAGATGCGCCTGGGTGCGATACAATCGCAACTTCAATACGTCTACCTCATCATCCTCATCATTCATTTATTCATTGAAAACAAGATTGTAAAACGGGACGAACTGTTTGAGACGTTGCTCAAAAAGTATGTGCTTAAGTTAGAGCTTAATTATCTCGATTCCTGTGGGAGATATCAAAAATGTGTCAACTGATAAAATATAGCTGATATTATGATGAGCATTTTGTTTGTTGAAAACTTTTTTGTATCTTTAACAGAAACCGAGATAAATTGGTTCAAAGTTAAAAGTCTGGGGGGGGGGGACCTTATATGTATAACAGTGTCACCCAAACTTTGAGCCTGCATATCTCATGTCTGTATTATATATCAAAAAGTGGCCAACTGACCAAGATATTTATAAAAATATCACAAAGATTTCATTAGTTGACAACTTTTTTGTATCTTTGACAGGAATCGAGATAATTTAGATGTTTTAAGGTACGCGGATGTGACTCGAAAAGTGACAAAAGCTATCATGGACGAAGAGGAACGGAAACAAAGGCAACGAAAGAAGGAGGAGGCAAAAGAAGCGAAGGAGCGAGAAAAGGAAGCGCAATGGGAGAAGTTTAGGGATCGAGAGAGAGAAACGAAGAAGGAGAATGATAAAGAGAAAGACAAGGAAAAGGATACGAAGAAGGAGAAGGAGGTGGAGGCGCCTGCACTTCGAGAGGATAAGAAAAAAGTGCCGGAACCGAAGACTTTGGAGTCACCATCAAAGCCGAACTGGAAGAGGGTGGGTTTGAAAGTTCAAAAAATTTCCAAAAATTTACAACAAAATTAACGCCTAGCTTAGCAGCGAAGTTATATCCATTTGAAGATCAGAAGGTTAGAGACGCAGACGACGAGACATTCGAACTGTCTGTGTCTCTTCTAAAACTTCAACTGACTGTATCTCGGCTTGTATGTAGGCGGAAAATTCTAAATATTTGAAAATTGGAGATTACTAAATTTAAGACATTTAAAAATTCTGAAATTCCTGAAATTCTTGAAATTCCAAAGTTCCGACATTTTCAAATTTGGATTGTTCCGAAATTCCGAACTTTCTAAAATTGGAAACAGGGAATTTTCGACATTCCGAATTTCTAAAAAAACCCCAAAATTCTGAATTTCTGAAAATTTGAAAATGTAATATTCGGAAGTTTCTGAAGTTCAGAGATTTAGAGATCCTGAATTTCTGAAGTTTTGAAAGTTTAAAATTCAGAGTTCCTGATTCTTAAATTTTCAGAAGTTCAGAAGTTTCGCATATCTGAAAATTTTGAATTTCTGAAATTTTGAAGTTTTGAAATTTTGAAGTTCTAAATCTCAAAGATTCTGAAATTTTGAAATTCAGAAATTCGGAAATTTAAAATTTAGAATTTCTGAATTTCCGAATTCCTGAAAATTAGGATTTCTGAAGCTCTGAAACTTTGAAATTCAGGATCCACCATTTCGTCCCAGCCGCCGTCCATCTGCCATTCTGGTCGAGGAGAAGACATCTAGAGAAGGCGCGTCCAAGTACGAAGGATCAATTGCCGAGGAGCGATCTCGAAATCCAAAGCAGAAGAGTGTCTACATGAAATGGGTAAATGATAATTTTTCAAAAAAATGTTTTTCAGTAGAGCGAATTTCCTCCATTTTCAGCCGACATCGTCGAAAGAGAAGCGTAGCAAGCACGAGACGAACAAAACGAAGATGGGAAAAAAGAATACGATGAGAAAGGGAGCCAAGAAGAATCGGCCAACTTATTGAATAAAGATTTTTTTTGTTGGATTTTAGATTTGGCTTTGAAAATTTTCTTTCGTTTTAATTTTTTGAAACGAAAATAATTAATTTTTCGAACCAAAAAGTACTGATTAGCCAGACAATATTTTGTCTGTTGATTCCTTTCGCCACGTAGAGGCTCAGTACATGAAAGGGGAAAATGGTTTTTCACCGCGGGAAAAGCCAACCAAAAACCCCATTGTCCTCCATCCGATCAATAGTCGAGCTGTGCCCCAGTCTAGTGGTAGAGACGTCCCGCAAACCGTAGCCCGCATGACCGCCTAGACCAACTAGCCCAGTGCCCAACTGGCCTACCTCACAAATTTTGAACGTCGATGCTGCTTTTCTGTGCCCTTTTATATGCGGAGAGGAGGGCGAGGCATAGCCCACCTGGATAATCCCGCCCTTTGGGAAACTCCGCCCCTTTTTTTGGTGAATTACGTCATAGACTGTTGACAGATGTCAATCAATAGTGGCATAGTGGTTGATACTGCATTGTTCTCATACTAAATTGTGCCCCTGGCAAGGGCAAATAATTTGGAGGGTACAAAAATTCGGGGGTACAACGGTGTACATTTTAGAACATTAGAATTTCAAAATTCGTGAAATTTCAGAATATCAGAATTTGAATTTCAAAATTTCAAAATTTCAAAATTACAGAATTTCAAATTTTCAAAATTTTAGAATTTCATAATTTCAAAGTTCAAATTTCAGAATTTTAAATTTCAGATTTTCATAAGTTCAAAACTTCAGAATTTCGAAATTTCAAAATTCAGAATTTACGAAAAACAGAATTTCAAAATTTTAGAATTTCAGACATCAGATTTTCAGAATTTTGAAATTCCAGATATGCAGAATTTCAGATTTCCAGAATTATGAAATTTTAAAATTTCAGATTTTCAGACTTTAACCATTTCAGAATATTAGAACTTTGGAATTTCAAAAAGTAGATTTTTGATCTACTTCTAAAATGTTCAATACACACACAATTTGTGTAATTTACGCAATCAAATCAGAATTCTCCCCTTTTTTCAACCACATGATGATCTAGAAGAAATTGTTGACCACCACTTCTGAAACTACTTGAATTCAGAAGACGTCATCTGGAAAAACAACATTTCCCTTCTAATTTTTTTACTAAATGTTTACTTTTTCTGTTGATCTCATCCATCTTTGGTTAGTCTTCAAATACAAATAGATCCATTCTTTTTTTTCTTTGTGTCTCTTTGAAATTCTAAATCTTCCGAATTGCACGACATCTTCTTCTGAATACGAATAGAATCTGAAGGACGTCGTCGTCTCCAAAAAAAGACATTTAGGCTCCGCCCACTTCTTTTGGTCCCGCCTTTTGTTCTATATAGGAACTGTTTCGGTTCCAGTCACTCGAACAAACTTTTTGAGAGAGAAGACGGAATAATGTGGTCAACTTTTGGTTTTGTATTTTTTTACACTTTTGTGATTTCAGTGGATTCTGGAAGTGTTGGATGTGAGTTTACTTTCTATAAGTTTGTCAAATGTGGATTTAAAGTCAACGAACAATTTTTTAGATTTCCACAATGCTTATTTTTCGGATCTTTTCGATTCGTAAAGTCAAAAAAGTAACTGAATGGAATTCTTTAACTGCGCCAAACTTGGATTTCAAAGATTACTGTAATTTCCGAATTTCTGGATTTTTGGATTTTCAAAATTCCGATTTTTTCAAAACTCTTTATTTTTGTAATATTTTAAAACTTTTTTTGGAATTTCCAGATTTTCGGATTTTCGAACTGTTATGGAATTCTCGTAAACTCTTGATTTCTTGAAAGTTTCAAGTTTTCTGGAATTTTGAGGTTTTCAAAACTTTCAGAAATTTTGAGTTTCAGATTTTCAGAGTTTCGAACTTTCTAAACTTTTGAAAAGAATTTTCAAATTTCAGAAATTCAGAATTTCACGATTTTCAAATTTTCAAATTTCAGAAATTCAGGGTTTCATATGTTCAGAATTTCAGAATTTCAGAATCCCAGAATCTCTGGATTTCAGAATTATTGAATTACTTATTTTTTGGAAAGCTGAAATTCTGAAATTCTGAATTTCAGATTGTTCGAATTTCTGAATTTACGAATTTCAGATTTCTAGAATTCCAAAATTTTCAAAAAAAAACCATGAATTTATAGATTTTCTGAACTTCTGGGCGTTTAGGTTCTTCTAAAAATATTTGCAATGTCAGATTTTTAATATCTTCCGCACTTTAAAGATTTTCTCAACTTTTTCAAATTTTCCGATTTTTCTGGATTCTGCAGAAAAGAAACTAAAATACAGCACCATTTTTTCCTCGTTAAAAACACAATCATCTTTTCGTAAACCATAAAAAAAGAAGGCGAAGAGGAACACCATAAAATCGGATTACTCTATTTTTCGCTTCGTTTTTCTATTCTTTTCAATTTTTTCAAAAAAAAATGTGTGTATAACAAAGAAAAGAAAAGAACACAATAACAACAAAAAATACAAATAAATTTCTCACTTTTCGCATTATTCCAAAAAATTGAAAAAACGAAAAGAAAAGCAAGAACTAGAAATCACCCTATACTTGAACTTTGAGCTCAATTATCTCGATTTCCATAAGAGATATCGAAAATCTGTCAACTGATAAAATGTTGATGACATTATGATAAACGTTTTATCAGTTAACATATTTTTGATATCTCTTACAGTAACCGAGATAATTGAGCCCGAAGGCCTTCTCTTGGAGGAATACAAAGTTCAATTTTCCAGTATGCCGCACAGAATGTGTCGAACAAAACTCCCGAAAAATCGTTCGCGTCCATTTAAAGGACGATTTGGTGATGGCTGGATTGTGCAGCAATAAGACTGATTTGTCCCAAGGATCCATTGTCACACCATACGTCTGCCATAGAAATATCGGACTATGGACTTTGGATGAGTTGGTAGGTTACGGGGTGGATCAAATTTAGGCCGGTTTATCTCATTTCCTGCGAGAGATATCAAAAAGTGTTCAACTGATAAAATGTTTATCATTATATCAGCAACATTTTGTTAATTGAGCACTTTTAGATAACTCTTACAGAGGCCGAGATAAATTAGCTCAAAGTTAATAGGTAGGGGTGACACTAAAGTCGGCACATCTGGCTCAGGACGTCTCAATGACGTCTCAATGACGGCCAACAACTCGTCAACTTTGAGCTCAATTATCTCGATTCCTGTGAAAGATATCAAAAAGTGGTCAACTGATAAAATATTGGTGATATTATCATGAATATCTTATCAGTTGAAAAAATTTTGATACCTCTCACAGGAACTGAGAAAAAAGGCTCAAATTCTTACTATGAAAGGCTCTCAATAAGACTTATTAAGAAAGATTCTCATTAAAAATATCGTTACTAATTGTAAGAAAAGTCGTCGCTGAGAAATATTCTCACAAAGATAATTCTTACTAACTATAAGAAAATTCTTCATTAAGAAAGATCCTCACTAAGAAATATTCTCACCAAGAAGATCCTCACTAAGAACAATTCTCACTAAGACTATTCTCACTAAGAAAATGCTTTCTAAGAAAGATCCTCATCAAGGAAGATCCTCACTAATGAATATTCTCACTAAGACTACTCTCATAAAGAAAGATTCTCACTGCGAAAAATTCTTACTAAGAAAATCCTCACTAAGAAAACAAAAACTCGTTTGGACCAAAATGCTTTTTTCAGGACCAAGAAGGAATCGTGAATTTCGAGAAGCTCTGCCCAACTCCCGATCAATATCCCTACGAGCTTCGTGCCACGTGTCCTCGCCTCAACGAGAATCGTGACGAGACCCCGATGGCGTTGGATGTGGACGAGTACCCGAACTCGTCCGGCGACACTCCATTATCGATTTAATGATTTCTTTTCACATTTTTATGTATAGAACAGACATACAGGAGGATACAACTAAAGGAAAAAAGAAACAAATAAATAATTTTTAAAAAACTGAAATTGCTCTGAAATTTCAATCACAAGGGGGAAAGGAAAGGAGAGAGAGAGAAAACGTACAACCATTTGGCATCACAGAAGAAAAGGCAAGCGCGCTCTATTGGATTACAATAGAGCGCGTTTGCAAAAGAGACAGAAAAACGGGAGAAAAAGGAGAGGAAAGCTGTGGGAGAGAGGGAGAGAGAATGATAGAAAAAGATAATCATTTTTATACAAAAAAGGGTACAAATAGGAGGGGAAAAATGCCTTAAAATTCAAATTTTGTTTAAAAAACCCAAAATATTAATTAATTAGCCACTGCTCTAGATGGGAACACTCGCCACTGGGCACGTGGAATCTTCTGGAGATATTTAAGCTTGTTGAAGAACACTTTGTACCTGAAAAATGGGGAAATTTTGAGACTTTCAGAATTTCAGATTTTCAAAATTCCAGAATTTCAAAATCTCAGGATTTCAGAACTTCAAAGTTTAAAAGTTTCAGAACTCCAGAATTTTATAATTTCAGAATTTTAGAATTTCACGGTTTCAGTTTTTTAGAAATTCAGAATTTCAGAATTAAAGAATTTCAAAGTTTCAAAGTTTCAGAATTTCATATTTCCTGATTTCCAGATTTTCAGAATATTAGAATCTCATAATTCCAGAATATCGGAGTTTCAGAATTACGGATTTTCCAAATTTGAGAATTTCAAAGTTTCAAAACCTCAGAATTTAGGAATTTCAAAACTTCAAAAGCTCAGATTCTCCGAATTTCGATATCTCCAGACTTCGAAATCTCAGAATCTCAGAATTTCAGAATTTCAAAACTTCAAAATCTCAGATTTTTAGAATTTCAGATTTTCAGAATTTCAATATTAAAGAATTTCAGAATTTCAAAATTTTTCGAAGGAAAATGTGGAAAACGGAATTTTTCGTATAAAAAGTATATATATTTTTTTTTTCGAAAATTCCAAATTTTTGGACCATTATTTGGCTTATTGAACCCGGAAAATCTGAATTTTTCGTTAATTTTCCCTTCCTTATCTCTTCTTTTCTGATCAAAAAATTATTTTTTTGAAGGTCGGAAAATCGTAAATTTCTTCCGTTTTCCGATATAAAAGGAAGTGAGATTTCTCTCTGATTTTACATTTTAATCGAATTTTCTTTTTCGAGGGGCAAAAGGCGAGAAATTTTCTAATGGAATTCGTTACGTATGCACTTTTTTCAGGTCAATTTAAAGGTACTTGAGAAAAAGTGAAACTTGGTTGTTGAAGTTGAAAAATTAGGTAAAAAGTGGTCAAAATTGTCCGATTGGGCAAAAGTTGAGAATTTCAAAAAATCAAAAGAAATCAAAAATTGAGATTTGGGACGTTTCGGAACCCGACGTTTCGGAACCCGACGTTTCAGAACCCGACATTTCGGAACGACGACGTTTCGGAATCACGACGTTTCAGAACTCGAAGTTTTAGAACCCGACGTTTCAGAACTCGAAGTTTCAGAACCCGACGTTTCAGAACCCTAATAGAAACGTCGTGCTTCGAAAACGTCGGGTTCTGAACTGTCCGGTTCTGAAACGTCGAGTTCTGAAATGTCGGATTGTGAACTGTCGAGTTCGTAAATGTCGATAAATGTCGATTTCTGAAACGTCGTGGTTTAGAAATGTCGGGTTCTGAAACGTCCCGGAGCCGAAAATTGGGGGTTTTGAGTTCAATTTTCGAAAAATTAGATTTAAAATTCGGGGATCAAAAATTCGATTTTTGGCTTTTTGATGGCGAAACGTAAAACTTCCTGGCTGAAATTCGAAATTTCCAGATGGAAAAATCAGAACTTCATTGTCAAATTCGATGATTTTAAGCCCAAATTTTCCGAATTTTCAGGTCTAAAAATTAGAAAACTAGGCTCAAAACTAGGCATTTTAGGATCAAAAACTTAAAATTTCAGACATTTCAAACCCCAAATTTTAAAATTTCCACTCAAAACTTGTCCAATCCGTACCATATAACTCCAATAACCGAACATGCGGCCACCGAAATGAAATATCCATCAATCGCCACTTCACAAACGTCTCCACCGGCCGCACATTGATCGGCGAGTACTTTGGTGTTGCACGCGTAGAGGACACTGGAAGAAATTTGAGATTTTTGGCTTAAAATTTGGCTGAAATAGGGAAATTTTGGTCTTGAAAAATACCCAAAAAACGACAGTTTTTCCTTTAAAAAAGAGCCAAAAACTCACTCTTTACTACCCTTCACCACACAATCCTTATACGTAAACCAGTCGGTGACCGCGAGGACTACCGTAACCGGCCAGTTTCCACCCAAATTGTTCAACGTGTTCAGCATGGTCATGTAGGTGCCGCCGATGCGTGGATCCGAGATTTGAGCGATGAACGCCATCATTGAGACGAACATCGAGTAGGTGGCGAGCTGGAAAAAAATAGATAGTTAGAAGGGCAGGGGAAGGGCAAGCTATGGACAAGCTTTTTCTTGACTTGCCCATAGCTTGTCCTTCTCTAGTTTAATGGTGTAAGGGCAGGGAAAGGGCAAGTGAATGACAAGTCAAGGGCAAGTCAAGGACTAGTAAAGGGCAATCTGTGAACAAGCCAAAACGGCTTGTGACAAGCTGTATATCGATTTAGCCATAGCTTTTTTCCTTTTCTATTCCATTAATGTTAGGACAGGTGAACGGCAAGTGAAGGGCGAGTGAAAGCAAGCTATGGATAAGCCAAGAAAGTTTGTGACTAGCTGTATCTTGACCTGGCAATAGTTTGCCCTTTTCTAGTCCGTCGGAGATAGGGCAAGTCAAGGACAAGCAATGGACAAGCTATGGGCAAGCTATGGACAAGCTGTTTCTTGACCTGGCCATAGTTTGCCCTTCTCTAGTTTGATGGTGTAAGGGCAGAGAAAGGGCAAATGAAGGGCAAGCTATATATGTATCTTGAGACTGGCCATAGCTTGTTTTTCTCTAGTTTACTAGCGTTTGGGCAGGTAAAGGGCAAGTCAAGGGCAAGTCAAGGACGAACTATGGACAAGCTATGTATAAGCTGTGGACAAGCTAAATCTTGACTTGCCCAAGCTTGCCCTTCACTTGTCCATTGGTATTAGGCTAGCTGTTTCCGTTTGTCGGGGAAAATCATGGCCACCCCATTGCCCAACAAAATCCTCACCTGATGAAACATGTATCCCGAAATCCACACAAAATACACCGAATACTCGAACTTCCCATCGGGCAACTGAAAGTGCGGTGTCCACCAGATCAGCGCCGCAAACACGCCACCAATGAAAATTCGGTATGGGAAAGCTAACAAGAAGATGTTCAATGGCCGCGGTCCGGCGGTCCACTTTCCAATCATCCATGGCAACAGAATCTGCATGGGCGTCAAGAAGACAGCGATCGACGCGAGACGATCTTTGGGGATTCCCATGGCGATCAGCTTCAAGCTCGTCATTCCATCAGTGGCAGCGAATGCCAATTTTCCGGTTAATAGGATTGCAATCATGTAGTGCACTGGTTTGAGCTTCATAATTTTGTAGAGCACTGTGTAGGATTCAACGACGCCGAGCTCCAGTTCCTCGTCTTCTGGTGCTGGATCTCCTGATGCCGTCGTGTTGTTCGATGAGATTGACATGTCCACTTCTCGCTTCAGAATCAGGACCAGGGTCGTGGTGACGATGAATACCCATCCCCAGAAGAAGACGTAGCCTGGAAAAGTGAAGAAATTGGTTTTGGCTGTTTTGGCCGTGGTCTAGGACCTAGACCCGGCAGCAAGCCGCCCTTGATCAATCAGACGGTTTTTAAAGCTATGTTTCTGGCTATTCTAGCGAAACTTTCCTGCAAATCCGTCGAAAAATCAGTTCTCTAGCTCACATAGGCGCCGAGATACGGCGCTTAGAAAGAAAGCTAGAGACGCAGCGTGTCTCGTCGTCTGCGTCTCTAGCCTCTTCCACTTTAAAGTGCTGTATCTCGGCTGCTAGATGAGCCAGAGAGTTGAAAATTGTACAGAAATGTGTGAAATTTTGCAAGGAGAACATTTTGGAGCTCAAATTAAATTTTTTTGTGTAAAGATGTCCGTTTATTACAGGGTTTTCGCTGCTTTTTTCGAGATCTTCGGTCATGTTTCAGTTCATTTCATTAGAATTTCAATTCTCAAAATCGCCGAATTTGTTATTGTTTAGCTTATTAGCTACTGTTATTATTCCAAGCGCCTCTGACCACTAGGTATCAATTTCAGGCGGCGCATTCTCGAGAATATAAACAAACTTTCATTTGTTTTGTCATTCTTTGCGCTTATTCTCTGTGCTTTAAGGTTTATTATTCAAAGGAGGCCACACACCAAAAAAAAAGTTTTCCTGATATTTTGCATAGAGGACCCCCATGAAGGGTTGAACTCATGACAGGCAGCTCAGGGGTACAGCGCCGCTACCGGCTGAGCTACGAGGGCGCGAAGGCGCCTGACGAACTGGCCCCCGAAATTTCTGCTGTCTCGCCTCCTTTCAATTTCAATGGGACAGGTGATAATTAGCGGTCTATTTAAAAGCCTAAGAGCTTGTGCGCACTTTTGGGCGGTACTAAAGGGTCTAGTTGATAGGAAATGACACTAAAACTGAGTATCTAGATCAAAGGATAGCATGGAGTTGTTAGGAATATTTTAAATTGCGTAAAATCCCGATTCCCGTAAGCATCTTTGCACCGAAAATCGCGTTTTAAGCTGCATTTCAACCCAAAAATTCAAATTTCGTGCGTCGGACTTGTCCACGAGGAGTACAAAATCGGAAATCGATCGAAATCGCCCGATTAGTCATTTTCACACCCTCCAAAGTTTTTTCAAAGTGATCGGAAACCGGACAGCCGAGCTCCAGGTACTGTATCTCGATTCCTGTGAATGATATCAAAAACTTGTCAACTGATAAAATGTTGATGTTATTGTGATAAACATTTTATCAGTTGACAACTTTTTGATATCTTTTACAGCAAGCGAGATATATGGGCTCAAAGTTGAAAGCCAAGGGGGTCATTTTAGTGTACCATAGATGGCCTAGAATCGAGTCAGGATGTCTGAGAAAGGTTTCTAGGCCACCACCAATTGAATTATAGGCCCCACAAGATCACTTTCCAGATCACAAGATTCTCCCCAATTGACAGTAAGAATACCTGTCCAACCACTAGAGTCCACAAGGGGTCATTTTATTTTATAGTGTACCGTAGATGGCCTAGAATCTCAGAAGGTTTTCTAGGCCTTCCGATTCCGACGAATAGGATTTCAATGATCCCAGATTGATCCCGATTCGCCACGTGGCATCTGTTTCAGCTCTTATCCTTTCGTGTGTCACTCTATTTTGAAACATCTTCTTCTCAACTCTATTAACTAGGCGTCACTTGCACTCTCCTCTCCCCTCCCACCCACAGATTTCAATAGGATCCTCCCCTTTTTGCTATACTTTTTCTATGGGGAATCCCCCCCGAAACTCCCACGCATTCATAACTTCTTCTTTTGTCTCTTCTTTTTTTGCCAGGATTTTGAGCTTTTCAGTGTTCCGAAATAGCCCAAAAATTTCAGTGTGGCGTGGGTTGAAGCCGAAAAGAGGTTAAGCTCCGCCCCCTTTTTTTATGGGGGACGGGTTTCGGTTTCAAGAAACGGAAACTTCCAATTTCCCCGCCATTTTCCCATCATATTCAGAGAATTCTTCTTTTAGAAATTCCTTTTTTTTCAGAATCCTTCAAGGACAAAAATGGGTATGACAGGACGACTTTTGCTGTTCGTCGTCGTCGTCGTCATGGTCTTCGTGATGGCTTCAGAAGCTATGAGGGGTAAGAAATTGTCATTTTCAGTGTCAATTGACCATTTTTAGGCTTAAAATCGTCAATTTTCGGCCATAAATAGGCAATTTTCAGCTCAAAACATCCGGGATTTTTTTTGGCTTAAAATCGACTGAAAACAGCCAATTTTGAGCTTAAAAATCAGCGTTTTTTGGCTTAAAATAGCCATATCTAGCTCAAAAAATCTCTCAATTTTTTCAGCAAAACGCGACAACTGCAAGTCGGAGAAGCTCAGGGAGCTGGTGTTGGAGACCGTAGGCATCTATCCACATCAGTATAGTTATCAGGCAAAGTAAGTTCTTTTGACTCAAAAAAAACCTCAATTTTGGCTCAAAATGCTCCAAATTTCGCCGGGAAAACTGAATTTTCCGGCTTAAAATCCTTCAAATTTCATATCCAGAAACTTCCAGATACCTAAAACAACAGGCCGAGGAGCGTTTCGGCTTCTGGTGGAGCGCTGTGATCGTCAGCGAACGTGGCGGTTATGGGATGAGTGCTGTCTATGATCAGTACAAGAATACGTCGTGCGAAATGATGCTGTTCGATACGTATTATTGGATTGGGCGGACTTGTTGAATTGATTAATTAATTAATTGGTGTGACTTATAATTAGTCAATTTTTCTACTTTTTTTTTGTGTTCAAAAATGAATAAAAAATGTGATTTTTCGATATATTTTTGGGCCTCAAAAATGACCATGTTCATGCTTTTTCAGTCAATTTTAGCTCATTTTTCAGTTGATTTTAAGCTATTTTTTGGTAATTTTTAAGACAAATTTCACTATTTTCAGACTATTAAAAATTGATTTTCCGATCTTTTTTGGTTAATTTTAAGCTAATTTTCAGCTAGTTCTCAGCTCATTTTTAGCTCCTTTTTTGGTTTTTTGAGCCAAATAAGCCTATAAAACCTCCTAGGCTCAAGGCTATAATAAGCCTATGCATGTCATTTTCAGGCTTTTCCAGCCATTTTAAGCTATTTTTTGATAGTTTTCAAACCAAAAAAGCCTAGAAAATGTCATTTTAGACCTTTTTCGACCATTTTCAACCCATTTTAAGTCATTTTCAAGCTATAATTCCCTATTTTCAGACCATTTTTCTGGCTGAAATTTTGGTGATTTTCAGTCAATTTTCAGATTTCCATATCACGTCATTTTTTGTTTCTATAGCTTTTTACCCGAAAATGGCGCCAACAAAACAAAACAAAAGAGCATGAAATTCATTCTCTCAGTCAGTTTTATTAGCTCCCAAGGGGTCTGTCAAGGCCAAAAAAAATTTTTTTGGCTCGTTTAAAAATCTCCGAAAAAGAAAAAACTACTCAACAACTTCCTATATAAAACATATGGGGCTCGAATTCGTCACTAGTTTTTTTTTTTTGAAAAAAAAAGATGGATCTTTGAAAATTTTTGAAAAAAATTGGGGTTTTTTTCAGCAATTTCAGCTCATTTATAGATGTAAAAATCGGCGGGAAATTCAAATTTTCTCAAATAACATCGCGGGAATTTGAATTTTTCGCTAGTTTCCGCTGAAAATCGGCGGTAAAGCTTGGATTCGGTCGGGTAAGGCTTAGATTCGGTCAATTTAGCCGCGCGCCGACCGTTTTCGTGCATTTGCGCGTCAACGTGGTTGCATACGCTGCATTGTATTTTACGACAAACTACTCACTAAAAGCCTCGTTTGTCGTAAAATAAAGTGCTTTGTACGCAAAAATTCGTGTTTTTATAGGGCACGAAAGGCACGAAATCGGTCAGCTTGGTCGGCTGTCGGTCGGCGATTTTCGACCGACCGAAATGGAAGCCTTAATCGGCGGGAAATTCAAATTTTCTCGAATGGTTTACCTGCCAAATCAACCATTCCCGTATCCTGTTGATTGTCTTTGGATCTCAAAAATTCGTTACAGAACGGCGCGGATTCCAGTGCCAAGAAGACGACGTTTCCGAGGAAATAACCGGCGGTTTGACCGACTGCGTTACATGTTGAAGCGTAGCCGACGTTCTTTCTGGAAAAAAAAAAATTTAAAAATCCAGAAGATCTTGAAATTTGAAATCTTTAAAAAATGCATTATTAATTGAAAGGAAATTCAGAATTTTGGAAATTCATAAATTCGAAAATCATAACATTCTGAAATCGGTTCTAAAAGTCGCAAATTCCAAAGATTCAGAATTTCCAAAACTCCGAAAATTTGAAACTTCAATTTTTTGTAAATTCAGAAGTACTGAATCTCGAAAATTCTGAAATTTCAAAATTACAAAATTCGCAAATCTAGAATCGAAATTTCAGAATTTCATATAAATCCAAAAAGTTCAAAAATCCGAAATTCGATAATTCTGAAATTCGGAGAATTCAAGAAGAAAAATCAGAATTTATCAAAATCTCAGAAATCTAGAATTCGAAAAATTGGAAAATTTGATTCAGCGAATTCTGATGCTCTGAAACTGGAAATTCAGAAAACCAAGTACCGTAAAACATGTATTAGAAGGGCCGGTCCTTCTATTGTTCCACGGTACCTCCGGAGGGCTTTTCTATTACAGGGGCCCTTCAATTAGAGAGGGACTTTCTATTTTTCCGGCCAGTTTTTTCCGAATTTTCGTTAAAAATTCATGAAAATATGCCAATTTCACCAAAATTTAGCAAGATTTTCATCGAAAAATAGAGTTTCAACAAGTTTCTATCAAATTGTGGAGTTCCCGGAATATCTTCCGGCTCCGGGACGTTTCAGAACCCGACGTTTCAGAACCACGACAGTTCAGAACCTGATGTTTCAGAGCTTTCTGCATTTTTGTATAGCGGTTTTTGTGCACCAAATGAGCATTGCTCATTTCAATTTGGTGATTATCTGCTTTTTCATTCATTCTCGTCTACCGTACTCCAAATAATGATAGGTTCGCACTGGGAATTTCTCGAAAAATCGAAAAAAT